CAGTATAGAGAGGGCGGCATCCGCGACACCTCCCTTACCACCCGTGTCCTCAGATATATTCGCCCATAGACGACAGAATAGAGAGGGCGGCGTCAGCGACACCTCCATCAGCACTCGCGTGTCCTCAGTTATATCCGCGCATAGGGCGGCAGAATAGAGAGCGCAGTGTCCGCAACACCTCCCTCCCTCAGCACCCGCGCGTCCTCAGTTATATCCGCACATAGTGCGCTGGAAAAGAGGTCCGCGACACCTCACTTCATTTTCACAACCGGTCACTTTCGTTTTCACATTGGGGTTGAGGGCGGCATGATCGTCCTCTGCCTAGAGCGGCAGTTCAGCTTGCTCCGGCCCTGTGTATATATATATATATATATATATATATATATATATATATATATATATATATATATATATATATATATATATATATATATATATATATATATATATATATATATATATATATATATATATATATATATATATATATATATATATATATATATATATATATATATATATATATATATATATATATATATATATATATATATATATATATATATATATATATATATATATATATATATATATATATATATATATATATATATATATATATATATATATATATATATATATGGCAACGCAGTGGCGCAAGAAGGTCAAAAAGGTCGCTGGTTCGAGCCTCGGCTGGGTCAGTTTCCATTTCTGTGTGGAGTTCACATGTTCTCCCTGTGTTCGCGTGGGTTTCCTCCGGGTGCTCTGGTTTCCCCCACAGTCCAAAGACATGCGGTACAGGTGAATAGAGTAAGATGTGACATTTGCAGTAAAATCTCAAAACGTAAATTCACATAAAAAGTATATGTTAACATTATATTGAAACAACTGTTTAATGTTTCTAATACAGCTAACCACAGAGTTATAGGAGCAGAAAAATATCAATCTGTAAACATTTTTTATATTTTAAACGAGGAAAATAAACATGCGTTATGGATTTGAAGAAAAACGTGTGTGAGATTACAGTGTACAACATACTTTGTGGAAATTTTGTGAATTAAACTGCACAACCCAAAAGAAAAAAAACATTAATCAAAAGTATAACGCCCCATTCACACGGGGCGCCAGCGTCAACGCTTCCTATTCGCTTTGAATGGGTGACGTCAGGCATTGCCGAACTGCATTGTGAATCCGTCGGCACCGCTTCAGAGGTGTTGCTCGCTGCAGAAGTTGGGACTAGCTCAACTTTTCAAGCACTGACGGAAGCGTCAGCCAATCAGATCGCTATATGCAAATACATGAGCTAGACAGTGGCCTATTGCTGACTGAATTTGATTGGCTGACACTGCTATGACGATCGAGTTAGCCCCAACTTCAGACACGCCTTCAGTCAAGCATTGATGCTGAAGCCCCGTGCGAATGGGGCATAAGAGTTGGCTCTCTTTGGAACAAAAAAGGATTGATTTTATTTTGTTTTACATTTTTGAGACCTTCTTGCTGTGAGATGACAGCTCTAACCACTAAGCCACCGTGCTGCCCTAGAATGATTAATAATGTTTGTTTTCCTCTTCATCAGGCTGTGCGCTCTGGTTCAGGACGGTTATGGGATGTTCGGTGAGCTGCTTCTTCAGTGCGTGTCCTCAGACTCGGAGATCCAGCAGGTCTCAGATGAGCTGGAGGGCCGTGTTTGTCTCCTGCGGGCCTTCAGGGTCGTCCAGCGGCTCACACGCGACAGGTCAGTCTGGGATGAAAAACGCTTGACACTGAACATCCTGCAGAGCTCTGACAAGCAGCTATTTTAAATTAAAGTATTAGTCTGTCAAGAAAAACACAGCCACATTCATTTCCCCTTCCTTAAAGCAACAGTTATTTCCTCAGAGCCTCGCTCTTAAAGTTAGTTCAGTCATTTTCCTTCTGTTTAGTCCCTATATTAATCAATGGTTGCAACAGTGCAATGAACCGCCAACTTATCTAGCATATGTTTTACGCAGCGGATTTCCTTCCAGCTGCAACCTAGTACTGAAAAACATCCATACACACTCATTCAAACACATACACCACGGCCAATTTAGTTTATTCAATTCACCTATAGTACATGTGTGAAACCAACACCCAACACGGGGAGAACATGCAAAGATGGGACTCAAACTAGCGACCACTGAGCCACTGTGTCGCCCTCTTAAAGTTAGTATCGGTTGATAGTTTGTAAATCAGTAGGCGCTGGAACACAAAGTGAGCACAAAGAGGACTTTGAAATGTTCATTTAATTTACACACACACACACACACACACACACACACACACACACACACACACACACACACACACTTAGAGTTAAGAGTTAAGTCAATGTTTTAAATAATTTTTTGGCTTTTTTTTCCAGTTTTATTTTAATTTTAGTTTTACTTTTAGCTCCGTTATGTGCTTTCACTGATTCATTTACACTTTCAGCTGTTTTTTTTTTGCCATTTTGTTTTATTTTTAGCCCTTTTTGTCATGCTTTTGTGATTTTTTTTAAGTAACTTTAATTAATTTAACTTTGTTTTGTTACTATTTTGTTGAATGAGCTTGTTCTTTACATTTTTAATATATTTGTTGTTTACTAAAAACTGACACTTATTAAGTTTTATTTAAAGTGTAAGTTTATTTTTAGCACTGTTATGGTCTTTTACAGATTCATATACACTCTGTTTTTTAGCTACTATTTAGTATTTAGTTAAATTTGTAGCACTTTTTTGCTTGGCTTTTGTAATTAAAAATTTATATTCTAGATGTTTAGTTATTTTATTTTATCATTTTTTAATGGTAGTTTTATTTTTAGCTCTTTGTTTATTTAGTTTTATAGTTTTTTGTCTTATTTTCAGCAATTTTTTTCATGCTTTTGGGATTTTTGTTGTTGTTAATGTTGCTATTTTGTAGTTATTCATGTTTTGAATAATCTTTTATTTTTAAATTAACATGTTTTAAATTGTAGCTTTTTATTTATATTTCAAAACAAAAACTTTTATTTTATTTAAGTTGTAATTTTTTTTACCTCTGTCTACACTTTTTTTTACAAAAACTTCTTCACTTTTTATTACATATATTTATTATATATTTTTATTTTAATTAAATTTTTTTATTTAATTAATTAATTTATTTGTATTTATTTATTTAATTAATATTTTTTAATTAATTTTATTATTTTTTTTATTTAAATAATAGTTTTAATTTTTAGTACCATTAAGCACTTTTACATATTTTTTAAAAACACTTCTTAGCATTTTTTATTACACATATTTATTTTATATTTTTAATTTAATTCTATTTTAAATTTAATTTATTTTAAATTTAATTGAATTAAATTTTTTATTACATTTTTAATTTAGTTTTTAATTTAATTTTCTAAATTAATTTAATTTAATTGAATTTTATTTTATTTTACCTCACCCGGTTGGTAAATAAAGAGTGAAGCTCACTGAAAGTTAATCATCTCTAACTGAAAGTTAATCTGAGCTCCTGTTTCTCAGATTAGCAGCTCTGGGTGTCAGAGTGAGATTTACGTCTGTGTTCAGAATTGCTGGCGTCTCGCCTCTGTCTGCATGGTCACTACTGTAACATTTGTGTTGTTGAAGTAAAAGGGGACATGTGAAGGCAAATTCCGGAGACACATTTGAACACATCTGAACATGAGCCGTGTACACCAATGCACAAGATGCCTTTCAGCGTTCACGGCTTATTTAGCATCAGCAGCTGTCTATATGCTAAACAGTTTTTGTGCGCTTAAGGAAATTCTGTCATTATTTGCTCACCCGTCTGTTTATCAGAATGGTTTTTTAATTGCAATTAAAAAATAGATGTTTAGCAGAATGTTTATGCTGCTCTTTTATGTTTAAGTGAATGTGGACTGGGACTGACAAGCTCCAAAACACCTGTTATATGACATCCAAGCCATGCAAATGCTTATGTGAGGACAACTTGATATTTTAAGTCATTAGTCATATTTGGTTTAGCTCAGCTACCAAATATGACCTCCAAAGACTACGTAGAATAGTTCGGACTGCTGAGCGGATCACTAGTACAACCCTCCCTACTCCCCAAGAACTGTACTTATCCAAAATCACTGTGGACCCCTCACACACAGCACACTGCCTCTTTGAACTTTTACCTTCTGGTCGACGCTACAGAGCACTGCGCACCAGAACAGCCCGACACAAACAGTTTCTTCCCTCAGGCAATTCATCTCATGAACACTTGATGATAGTAATTGTGGAACAAACATCACGACTTGCAGTACACTTTATTACACATACACTTATTTAACAACACACTTTACATGCAAATTTGCACATAACAGCTGCACATATAACATTGTATATGGTAATATAGCTCTACATACACTACAGCTCTTTCTGATTCTGATTCTGGTAGTTGCTGATAATGAGTGCCTTTAGCCACAGTTTTTCATTTAGTTTTATCTTATTTTGTTAGTATTTTCATTAGTTTTTTTATTTTAGTTTTGTCTTTTGTTTTGTTTATTTTATTTTTGCTTTGTTATTTTATTTTTTTATTTTTTATGTTATTTTATTCATGTATTTATTTTAATTGTTTAGTTTTATCTTATTTTCTTAGAATTTTTCCTGTTTTATTTTTTATGTTTTTTATTTTTGTTTAGTTTTGTGTATAGTTGTTTTTATTTTTTGTTTTATTTTATTTTACTTTTTTTGTTTTATTTTATTTTATTCTACAATCTCACTTGCTGATGCAATCCTCATTTTGTTTAGTTTTATCTTTTTTGTTAGTGTTTTCATTTTCTATATTTTATTACTTTTAAGTTTTGTGTATTTTTTTGTCATTTTTATAATTTT